GAAATGAGACACTAGAATTCTACCATCATCATAAAAAGGTGATGAAATGAGACACTAGAATTCTACCATCATCATAAAAAGGTGATGAAATGAGACACTAGAATTCTACCATCACCATAAAAAGGTGATGAAATGAGACACTAGAATTCTACCATCACCATAAAAAGGTGATGAAATGAGACACTAGAATTCTACCATCACCATAAAAAGGTGATGAAATGAGACACTAGAATTCTACAATCATCATAAAAAGGTGATGAAATGAGACACTAGAATTCTACCATCATCATAAAAAGGTGATGAAATGAGACACTAGAATTCTACCATCATTATAGATTTATTAAGGAAACTTAGATGTACTTTTGTCAGAAAAAGAAAAACAGAATTAATGTGTTTGTAAAGTTTTATTATCAAAAAACTAATTATCCAAACATCCGTACATAAACATTCACAAAGTATTAGATATTAATTAATCAAAGATTTCAATAAAGAATTACTCTACCTTTTGTGTCTCTTCCAGGAGATATCTACTGGATCAGAACCTGATCCTGCTATCTTCACACCATCCAGACACTTGTAAAAATCAATATCTCTTTAATTGATTAAAAGATTTTTAATTCACACACTACACTTTTACGTAAACACAAAATGGTATACTGATGATTGAACTATATATATACAAGGACAATTTTCATGTGAAATGTAAGTTGAGACAGATATCAGAAAATTTTGGATATGAAATGAACATGATAAATGTCAGTCATGATAGACTGTAGCGGCTGGTTATATCGCAGAAAGAAAAAAAATCTGTGATGTTGATAGTTACTGTATATACTACCAATCCTAAACTTAGTGATGTTGAGTGTTACTGTATAAACTACTGATTGTAAAATATGATGATGTAGTTGATGTTTGGAGAAATGAGACCACATAGATCAGATGATAAATAATCTAGTTAATGTTTTTGAAAGACAAAAATTCAAATTAAAATGAAATCCATCTAGATCAATAAAATTTCATAAAAATGACTTTAGATTTTATAAAATTGACTTTAGATTTTATAAAATTGACTTTAGATTTTATAAAAATGACTTTAGATTTTATAAAATTGACTTTAGATTTTATAAAAATGACTTTAGATTTTATAAAATTGACTTTAGATTTTATAAAATTGACTTTAGATTTTATAAAATTGACTTTAGATTTTATAAAAATGACTTTAGATTTTATAAAATTGACTTTAGATTTTATAAAATTGACTTTAGATTTTATAAAATTGACTTTAGATTTTATAAAAATGACTTTAGATTTTATAAAATTGACTTTAGATTTTATAAAATTGACTTTAGATTTTATAAAATTGACTTTAGATTTTATAAAAATGACTTTAGATTTTATAAAACTATGGTAGTCATTATCATATTTGTTCAGTAATAAGCCCAAGGGGCTTAAACAATCTTAGTTTAAATCTGGGGGTGGGCTTAGCATGAACGTATGAAATCTTATAACTGTAACAGCTTATTCATGGTATCATTGATATCTGATGGTGTGTCGTGGCTCATAAACACCTGGACACACACTGACTTGATATCTGATGGTGTGCCGTGGCTCATAAACACCTGGACACACACTGACTTGATATCTGATGGTGTGCCGTGGCTCATAAACACCTGGACACACACTGACTTGATATCTGATGGTGTGCCGTGGCTCATAAACACCTGGACACACACTGACTTGATATCTGATGGTGTGTCGTGGCTCATAAACACCTGGACACACACTGACTTGATATTTGATGGTGTGCCGTGGCTCATAAACACCTGGACACACACTGACTTGATATCTGATGGTGTGCCGTGGCTCATAAACACCTGGACACACACTGACTTGATATCTGATGGTGTGCCGTGGCTCATAAACACCTGGACACACACTGACTTGATATCTGATGGTGTGCCGTGGCTCATAAACACCTGAACACACACTGACTTGATATCTGATGGTGTGTCGTGGCTCATAAACACCTGGACACACACTGACTTGATATCTGATGGTGTGCCGTGGCTCATAAACACCTGGACACACACTGACTTGATATCTGATGGTGTGTCGTGGCTCATAAACACCTGGACACACACTGACTTGATATCTGATGGTGTGCCGTGGCTCATAAACACCTGGACACACACTGACTTGATATCTGATGGTGTGCCGTGGCTCATAAACACCTGGACACACACTGACTTGATATCTGATGGTGTGCCGTGGCTCATAAACACCTGGACACACACTGACTTGATATCTGATGGTGTGCCGTGGCTCATAAACACCTGGACACACACTGACTTGATATCTGATGGTGTGCCGTGGCTCATAAACACCTGGACACACACTGACTTGATATCTGATGGTGTGCCGTGGCTCATAAACACCTGGACACACACTGACTTGATATCTGATGGTGTGCCGTGGCTCATAAACACCTGGACACACACTGACTTGATATCTGATGGTGTGCCGTGGCTCATGACTTGATATCTGATGGTGTGCCGTGGCTCATAAACACCTGGACACACACTGACTTGATATCTGATGGTGTGCCGTGGCTCATAAACACCTGGACACACACTGACTTGATATCTGATGGTGTGCCGTGGCTCATAAACACCTGGACACACACTGACTTGATATCTGATGGTGTGCCGTGGCTCATAAACACCTGGACACACACTGACTTGATATCTGATGGTGTGCCGTGGCTCATAAACACCTGGACACACACTGACTTGATATCACACACTGATGGTGTGTGTCCGTGGCTCATAAACACCTGGACACACACTGACTTGATATCTGATGGTGTGCCGTGGCTCATAAACACCTGGACACACACTGACTTGATATCTGATGGTGTGTCGTGGCTCATAAACACCTGGACACACACTGACTTGATATCTGATGGTGTGCCGTGGCTCATAAACACCTGGACACACACTGACTTGATATCTGATGGTGTGCCGTGGCTCATAAACACCTGGACACACACTGACTTGATATCTGATGGTGTGCCGTGGCTCATAAACACCTGGACACACACTGACTTGATATCTGATGGTGTGCCGTGGCTGCACCTGGACACACACTGACTTGATATCTGATGGTGTGCCGTGGCTCATAAACACCTGGACACACACTGACTTGATATCTGATGGTGTGCCGTGGCTCATAAACACCTGGACACACACTGACTTGATATCTGATGGTGTGCCGTGGCTCATAAACACCTGGACACACACTGACTCATTATTGATTCATTATTGAGTAATTACACAACAATGATATAGCATTTCTCTTATAATTTCAACTGAAGCTTTGGTGTTTTAATGGGCCTATTACCACTCAAGTTTATTGCAAAATAAGAAAGTGACAGAGCCTGAACACTTGGATTTCAGAGTTTGTAAGTTTGTAGGTTAGATCTTGAACAGTAAACTTTGATACCCGTCACAAGGCACAGAATCTGTACAATGAAATCATTAAACACTATGTTAATCATAAAAATAAAGTTATGTACATACTTTATAATACATGTTATACTGTAAGTTCATGAAGTTTTGGGGGATTTATTTTCATTATTTTTTGAAAACTCATAACATACAGTTACGTGATAACTTGTAATTCACTCATAATTTAGACGTTTTTGAAATGTTTAATTAAGTATAGGTTGACTTAAGGATCCACAAAATCAATGGTCAACAAAGTAGGAATTGTTTGAAAATCCATGAAAATTAAGCCCCACAAAAATATCTGATTTTGCAGTTATAAATCAGACAGCTGTATATTGGATATGTGTATGATCAACTGAAAGACTTCTAACACTCTCACATTTGGGTAACTCAGATCTGTGTTTATATTAACATTCTGTTAACACAATTTTATCTCTGACTCAAAGTAGAGACGTGTGCTTAATACAGAAAAATAAAGCTAGGCTACCTGTGACTCAAAGTATTATATTATAGGGGTGGGCTTAATGCAGAACAATAAAGCTAAGCTACCTGTGACTCAAAGTATTATATTATAGGGATGGGCTTAATACAGAACAATAAAGTTAGGCTACCTGTGACTCAAAGTATTATATTATAGGGGTGGGCTTAATACAGGATGATAAACCTAAGCTAGCTGAGACTCAAAGTATTATATTATAGGGGTGGGCTTAATACAGAACAATAAAGCTAGGCTACTTGTGACTCAAAGTATTATATTATAGGGGTGGGCTTAATACAGGATGATAAACCTAAGCTAGCTGAGACTCGAAGTATTATATTACAGGGGTGGGCTTAATACAGGTTGATAAGTCTATAGGGACTCAAGGTGTCTGGAAGTAGAGATGTGAGCTTATTACATCTTTTATTCATTGGGATTTTAGTAAATACTGTGAATAATGTGGGTTGGGTTATAACCAGACATGGATTTTAATCATAATAACAATTTCCTTAAACTTTCATTTTTTGTAAGTTTTTAAGTATGAAATGTCATTACATGCACCCGGTGACCTCTGCATGACTAAGTGATTCTAGAATTCCATGGAGAGTTAACTTGAATGATTGCAAATTTAATTAAAAGAAAAAGCTGTGAAATTACAGATACAGGTTTTAGATGATAAGCATTGAAATGTTATATACATTTAGACTGATTAATATTTTATGTTGAGATCAACATGACAAATTTCTGTTTTCAAAATTTGTTTTTTTTGACACATTATATTGGTATCACTGACAGAAACAAAAATTTTTTTTTTTCAAAAATTTTTATCTTGGCGTAAAATATAAGTAAGTGCATAAAGGTTGTAGAGAAACGTCTGTGTGCACTAGTTAAAATGGTAGAAGTATGATAGAGAGTTATCAAGTGGTCTAGCTAAATATAATTATATAGAGCAAAAGTCACTTTAAGCCACGATACATTTATTTGAATCATTGACACAGAATCAGTAGGTGTAGAAATTACATACAATTTTGTTGCTGTTCTTTAATGGAAAGTAGCATTATGGTGTGTTTACCACTGTTAGAGGTATGGTCACGAGTTTCTGTGCTCCGACGAGGAAGTGCACAAACAAATTCATGGAGAGTTTTACGAAATGGGGCAATGATAACATAATAAAGAATGAAATTTACCGAAAAGTTGATAGTCTGGAGTGTGTTAGTTACCATGGATACCATTTCATAGGTACGTCTGTCTCTCTGGTATTCCTTAATTATATAGAAGAAAAATTTTGTGATCTCGCTCGGGGCTACGAGAATGAAGAAAAATATGATGATTGTGATGAGAGTGATGTTAATTCGCCGATGAGCGGAAAGACAAGTCGTATCATCACGGCTGTGGAGAAGTCGCAGCTGTTTGCTCTGATGCAAGGCCCTGATTAGGCATATGTTACAATACAACAAAATAGCCAGCGGCAAAAAATTTCCAAGTATGGCCCACAAAAGTTTGTGTGCATAAACAAAGTTGATATTGTTGAATAAGTCACCTTTTGTTGTTGAAACATATTCCTGCGAGACAAAGCAGGGCAGATTTTCCTGTTTAAAAACCCACAGGGACGGGATGTTGAACCCTACAGATGTCACACAAATCACCAGAATGGCCATCCCCGTTATTTTAACAGAAATAAACTGACGAGAACGGAATGGATGACAGATTGCTAGATATCGCATGAATGCCGTGAGCACCGTTAGCAGAGTGCTACTGAGTATAAAAGTACTGATCACTGCGATACTGTACATCTTGTAGAACAACATAAACTCAGATCGGTGGAAACTGACTCGGTCCGGTAGAAACGCGTTTGGAAATGTACACAGACAAAACATCATGTCAGAAACAGCCAAAGCCACGAGACAGATCGTTGTACAATATTCTACTTCATCAAGAATCTTGTTGTTCTTCTTCTTTGTGAAAATGACGACATTTAGAATGTTACCAACGAATCCGAAGGCACAGACAAGGGGGATAACTATATCATATAGGTAGTACTTCATCAGCTGCAGAGTTACCATCTGAGACGAAGCGGTCACATTTTGTGATCCTCTTGAGAAGTTTAGATGAATAAACAGTTCAGTGCAGTTCATTTTGGAATTTAAAAAAAAAATTCCAACAATTGATATGAGATCTTTATTTCAAATTCATTGAATCAATTTTCAGGCTGACTTGTGTTCACAGCTGATATAAATTGTGATTATAGTTCCTGTCAGCTTGGATTACAAAGCCTTCTGGTATATAAGCAGTAAGATACTCACTCTGACAAGTACAGTCACGTACAAACTTGTATCTACTTTTTGATGTAGGGATACCCCTGGTAATTCTTTACATTAAAACCTTTGGATGACATGGATTGAAAAGAAATGTGTTTTGACCTTGACCTTTGGTGATTGATGAGATTGACTGGTTAATAGAGTGTCAGAAATTGACAAGCTACGATATGGAAGTGGTCAAACAAAACAGCTTTCGATCAATTGCTAATTTTCCTCTTCAGATAGACAGATATGTTCATTACTCCATGTAGATGTCTGAGGGTCCTTGCTAGTCCAACGTTAATAGAGTTGGTCTCCAACTCTTTAGTTATCTGGGTCAGACTTCGGAAAATACGTGTCTGGTATCTAGGTCCTTAATCTGAAAAAAAAAACACGAAAAAGATCGTAATTAATGGACATTTCTTAAGCAGTCCAGACTGACATCTTAACAGATGTTTAAGTATTTGATTATGTGACTTAAAATGAAGGAGATAGGTCAAATTTACTGATGCATTATGGCACATTTTGATTTTTTTAAGGATACAGATACAAACTCTGTGCTATAAAAATGAAATATTTTCAATCTTTCTATTGTAGTCTTAACTACACCAAGGACTGAGAATTTTCTGTTTTGTCTTGGGGACCTGAGCAGTGAAGGAGTTGTAAGAATTTGGTCTATTATGGTTGGTTTGACTCCATAGCAACTGCCTTACTATAATATTTTATTGAACTTTGTGGAATACATCATGATGTTATGAAATGTTGAGCTCTGAAGTGGGAAACAATGAAAATTAGACTGCAATCGATGGCATAGGGTTGTGAATTTACATTTCTGACATCCAGCTATTTTAGCAAGTACACATCATTTAAATTAATGAGTGTGCATGATGAATATACTCAGCGGGTATATCTTGTAACCTGACAATCCCTCTGTCAGAACAAATATAGTGAAACCTATTATGACCACTTTGGGGACTGGACATAAGTGGTCTTAATAGCAAGGTGGTCTTTATAGTGAGGTGGATCAGATTGACCACAAAGAACCGTAACTCTGTTTAAGATAAAGACTATATATATCATTAAGTAATGTACATGTATATTATTCACAATAATAACTAGACTGTATATAAAATGTTGAATTTTATGAAATGCATGTAAAACAGATAAAATTGGAATTGACGAAAGAATATATATGTTTATATTCCTTAGTGTATATTATAATATACATGTATATTTACTATAGTAAACATTGAATAAAAGAAAACAAACAATCAGTTTTAAGTTCAATAGGAATTTGACATTAATTTTTTTATTTTTTAACATAAATTTACAAACACATTAACTCAGTATTTGTAACAACATTAATGAAGTCACTATAAAGTCTTTCGACGTTTCTTTTTTCACATAAATTCGCAAAAACATTAACTCTGTCAGTGTATCACTCAGTACAACATATTTGTCTTTTAACTTAAAAAAAAGAGTCCAGTGCACAATGTTGTGAAGAGCTACGGATCTGGACAGCGTCCTCTTCCGCAAGTCCTTTTAAGCGATCGTGATAGCTCGTTTCGTTTATGTGGTTTTGTCATTGCTTGATAAAGTTCATCTGAGTTTCGTGACAGAGAAAATACGTTGTAAAAAATTTGGAACACATACATGTTTTTTATTGGTCAAACGATGTCGAGAGTGTAACATTGCTACAAAAACAGTTAAAAACCCTCGACAACATGTGTGCATGTGAGCAAAGGAATATTGGCCGAAAAGACTACATACTTCACTTTTGGGAATGCAGGGCTTCTAAGGTGTTTAGCAGCATACCTACCGATATACCAATATATAATTAACAAACAATAGATCGCTATTAATATGTGGTTTCACACAAGTTAATCAGATTATGATGTATACTTCGTGTCACGCCACCTGGTGACAGGATTGGTAACCTGTGACAAAAACAATAGTCGAGAACGACACAAATGCTCGCGGTTCACTGCCCACCAGGTAACTTTAATCACTGGTCAGAACTTGGTCGTAATTGTGAGGTCAGTTATTGTTAATTAGTGGTCGTTAGGACTGTAAGAAGTGGTCGTAATACGGAATAGCGGGTGGTCGTAGAACTGAAGCGACCAATACAAAGATATATAGTGGAAAAAAACGGGACTGAAAAAAGGTGCCCTTAATAGCGGGATGGTTGTAATTTTGAGGTGGTCGTTAGGTGAGGTTTCACTGTATAGTCTTAGCATTATCAGTTGTTGTAAGTCTCTGTCACAGAAAGATAATTTTACTGGACATGAAGAACAAAATCATGCCATAAGATTTCAGCCCCAAGTTTGATCCTGCCCTCACTACAATTCACCTCTCCAGTTCAGAGTCTGACTACAGAAACCTTGAGATCTTGTAGCTCACCCTAACCTTGAGATCTTGTAACTCACCCTAACTCACCCTAACCTTGAGATCTTGTAACTCACCCTAACCTTGAGATCTTGTAACTCACCCTAACCTTGAGATCTTGTAACTCACCCTTATCTTGAGATCTTGTAACTCACCCTAACCTTGAGATCTTGTAGCTCACTTAAACCTTGAGATCTTGTAACTCACCCTAACTCACCCTAAACTTGAGATCTTGTAACTCACCCTAACCTTGAGATCTTGTAACTCACTTAAACCTTGAGATCTTGTAACTCACCCTAACTCATCCTAACCTTGAGATCTTGTAGTTCACCCAAACCTTGAGATCTTGTAGCTCACCCTAACCTTGAGATCTTGTAGCTCACCCAAACCTTGAGATCTTGTAACTCACCCTTATCTTGAGATCTTGTAACTCACCCTAACCTTGAGATCTTGTAACTCACCCTGACCTTGAGATCTTGTAACTCACCCTAACCTTGATATCTTGTAGCTCACTTAAACCTTGAGATCTTGTAACTCTTCCTAACCTTGAGATCTTAAACCTTGAGATCTTGTATTTCACCCTAAACTTGAGATCTTGTATTTCACCCAAAACTTGAGATTTTGTAGCCCACTTAAACCTTGAGATCTTGTATTTCACCCTAACCTTGTGAACTTGTATTTCACCCAAACCTTGAGATCTTGTAGCTCAATTAAACCTTGAGAACCTGTAGCTCACTTAAACCTTGAGATCTTGTAGCTCACTTAAACCTTGAGATCTTGTAACTCACCCTTATCTTGAGATCTTGTAACTCACCCTAACCTTGAGATCTTGTAACTCACCCTAACCTTGAGATCTTGTAACTCACCCTAACTCATCCTAACCTTGAGATCTTGTAACTCACCCTAACCTTGAGATCTTGTATTTCACCCTAACCTTGAGATCTTGTATTTCACCCTAACCTTGAGATCTTGTATTTCACCCTAACCTTGAGATCTTGTATTTCACCCTAACCTTGAGATTTTGTCGCTGATCCATTGTGGCAGTTTCAGTTACTTCCTTGATATTTGTTGAACAGTTTTATGTTCTTACATTTGCTTTCTTTCTTTTCTTTCTCTTTCTTACTTAGTCAATCAGCTAGCATAAACAAGAAGATCAGAAAGGAAAATGATATTAATTATAAAGTCGTTGGTCATGTCCGAGACGTCCAGTTTTCATCCCTTGTTACCTATAATCACACTGTGTTGAGTGTTAATCTCCAACATTTCATTCAACACCCAGAGAAATCGGATGTATGTCTGTGGCTTGTCTCATTGTTCTCGCATCTGTCTATTGGGATTAAATGAAGGAAGGTTTTGTTAAGTAGGATGACTGGATGTGTCTAAGAACAGCCTTAAAGAGATCTCCAAGGCCATGCAATCTCACGATGCCATTAAGGAGCACGTGTGTTTTGGTATTGGCATTGCTTATTTGTAATTTCATCTATTGGCAGTGTATTTCAAATACCTTGCAAATTAATCTAACTTATTTTCGCCAAATAGCCTCCAAACCAAAGGTTTGTTTCCATAGATTCTATTGTACTGGTCGGTTGCTATGTAGTATAGGGTATGTACATGTATAGGAGTGATGAATGGTTACAATAGTGTTGTCATAGTGAGGATTATCCACTTAATCTGGCTTTTGGATGAGATTTTGATTGAGGATCGACAAAGCACGATTGAAGATAAAGCATGGCTTCAGACAACAGGATCCTTAACACATTTGTCAGGATGGTCCAGACTTGATATCCACAAAGATGATCATTTCTTTTTACTCACATAGATGTTAGACATTTATGGTATTTCTTAATTGAAAGATTTGATATCTATTAAAATGCAGTTTGACCTCTTGGTCAATAAGTTTTTCATTGTACAGTTTTTTGGGGTGACTTCGGTGAATTTTAATTATTTTTCAAACATTTGATCTTAGCTGTTCTGTAACATTCCATTGTTTTGTCATACTGGTGATGTAAGAATGAAATATTTCTGTAATTGTCAAGTACAAGTATTTTTTGAGAATTTTTTCAACAGAGAAAAAGACACTTGTAGCCTGATAAAAATTTCTTCTTTATAAAAGTGACACCTTAACTTTTTTAGAGATTTCAATGTCACAGAAACTCTTTGGATTTTCATTGTCACAGAGACTCTTTGGATTTTCATTGTCACAGGGATTCTATGGATTTTCATTGTCACAGAGACTCTTTGGATTTTCATTGTCACAGGGACTCTTTGGATTTTCATTGTCACAGGGACTCTTTGGATTTTCATTGTCACAGACACTCTTTGGATTTTCATTGTCACAGAGACTCTTTGGATTTTCATTGTCACAGGGACTCTTTGGATTTTCATTGTCACAGAGACTCTTTGGATTTTCATTGTCACAGGGACTCTTTGGATTTTCATTGTCAGTGTCACAG